CGCTTTGTGCGCTGGAGAGCAAAAACCCCGTGGCGTTTACGCTCCGAGTGAAACTTTGACGTTTCGCCGGGAGATCACAACGACAGTCGATGAACACGTTCATTTACCCGCTCCATCGGGCGATCAGTCAGAATTGTGAAGAAGTCCTGATGTGTCTCCGTCTTAAATAGAGGCGGGGGGGGGGGGTAAAGGTGATCTCTCTCATCACTCTGAGCCTATCAGGTTGCGAACACAAGAGGAGTGGCGGGGGGGGGGGGGGTTAATGCAGTCGTGCAAGTTACAATAGATCGTGTTCATCTGAGAACCCTGTTTCTTGGTTGGGTTATTCGCAGGTAATCAACTTCGAGCGCAATTATTTCATGGTTAGCATGTTGTTAGCATGTTGTCCCAACTCGCAGCTCCGATAGGCACGATCGGCCAACGCACGAATGCCACCACCGACAACATTACGTTGATCTGAGAATATGCAGAGAATACGCACTACAGTCTCTCCTCTACTTGCGAACGAGTTAGGTTCCAGAGGTCTGTTCGTAAGTCGATTTGGTCTCAAGTCCAACTTTACTCCTGTCGATTCCAAACACGTTGTACGGCGTGTACACTAAACACGGGGAGCGGCTTTAAAAGTTGCACAATCTCCTGTAGATGTAGATGCCACTGGTTCTTCATGTTCTGCAGATGTAAATGCCACTGGTTCTTCATGTTCTGCAGATGTAGATTCCACTGGTTCTTGATGTTCTGCAGATGTAAATGCCATTGGTTCTTCACGGCTTGCAGATGTAGATGTCACTGCTTCTTCACGTTCTGCAGATGTAGATGCCACTGGTTCTTCATGTTCTGCAGATGTAGATGCCACTGGTTCTTCATGGCTTGCAGATGTGGATGCCACTGGTTCTTCATGTTCTGCAGATGTAGATGCCACTGGTTCTTCACGGCTTGCAGATGTAGATGCCACTGGTTCTTCACGGCTTGCAGATGTGGATGCCACTGGTTCTTCACGTTCTGCAGATTTAGATGCCACTGGTTCTTCACGTTCTGCAGATGTAGATGCCACTGGTTATTCATGTTCTGCAGATGTAGATGCCACTGATTCTTCACGTTCTGTAGATGTAGATGCCACTGGTTCTTCACGTTCTGCAGCTGTAGATGCCACTGGTTCTTCACGTTTTGCAGATGTAGATGCCACTGGTTCTTCACGTTCTGCAGATGTAGATGCCACTGGTTCTTCATGTTCTGCAGATGTAGATGCCACTGGTTCTTCACGGCTTGCAGATGTGGATGCCACTGGTTCTTCACGTTCTGCAGATTTAGATGCCACTGGTTCTTCACGTTCTGCAGATGTAGATGCCACTGGTTATTCATGTTCTTTAGATGTAGATGCCACTGGTTCTTAACGTTCTGTAGATGTAGATGCCACTGGTTCTTCACGTTCTGCAGCTGTAGATGCCACTGGTTCTTCACGTTTTGAAGATGTAGATGCCACTGGTTCTTCACGTTCTCCACATGTAGATGCCACTGATTCTTCATGTTCTGCAGATTTATATGCCACTGGTTCTTCGCGTTCTGCAGATGTAGATGCCACTGGTTCTTCATGTTCTACAGATGTAGATGCCACTGGCGCTTCATGTTCTGCAGATGTAGATGTCACTGGTTCTTCACGTTCTGCAGATGCATGCCACTGGTTCTTCATGTTCTGCAGATGTAGATGCCACTGGTTCTTCATGTTCTGCAGATGTGGATGTCACTGGTTCTTCACGTTCTGCAGATGTAGATTCCACTGGTTCTTCCTGTTCTGCAGATGTAGATGCCACTGGTTCTTCACGGCTTGCAGATGTGGATGCCACTGGTTCTTCACGTTCTGCAGATGTGGATGCCACTGGTTCTTCACGTTCTGTAGATGTAGATGGCACTGGTTCTTCACGTTCTGTAGATGTAGGTGATACTGGTTCTTCATGTTCTGCTGATGTAGATGCCACTGGTTCTTCACGTTCTGTAGATGTAGATGCCACTGGTTCTTCACGTTCTACAGCTGTAGATGCCACTGGTTCTTCACGTTTTGAAGATGTAGATGCTACTGGTTCTTCACGTTCTCCACATGTAGATGCCACTGATTCTTCATGTTCTGCAGATTTAGATGCCACTGGTTCTTCACGTTCTGCAGATGTAGATGCCACTGGTTCTTCATGTTCTACAGATGTAGATGCCACTGGCTCTTCATGTTCTGCAGATGTAGATGTCACTGGTTCTTCACGTTCTGCAGATGCATGCCACTGGTTCTTCATGTTCTGCAGATGTAGATGCCACTGGTTCTTCGTGTTCTACAGATGTAGATGCCACTGGTTCTTCATGTTCTGCAGATGTAGATGTCACTGGTTCTTCACGTTCTGCAGATGTAGATTCCACTGGTTCTTCATGTTCTGCAGATGTAGATTCCACTGGTTCTTCATGTTCTGCAGATGTAGATGCCACTGGTTCTTCACGGCTTGCAGATGTGGATGCCACTGGTTCTTCACGTTCTGCAGATGTGGATTCCACTGGTTCTTCACGTTGTGTAGATGTAGATGGCACTGGTTCTTCACGTTCTGTAGATGTAGATGATACTGGTTCTTCATGTTCTGCTGATGTAGATGCCACTGGTTCTTCACGTTCTGCAGATGTGGATGCCACTGGTTCTTCACGTTCTGTAGATGTAGATGGCACTGGTTCCTCACGTTCTGTAGATGTAGATGATACTGGTTCTTCATGTTCTGCTGATGTAGATGCCACTGGTCCTTCACGTTCTGTAGATGTAGATGACACTGGTTCTTCATGGTCTGCTGATGTACATGCCACTGATTCTTCATGTTCTGCAGATGTAGATGCCACTGATTCTTCACGTTCTGTAGATGTAGATGCCACTGGTTCTTCACGTTCTGCAGCTGTAGATGCCACTGGTTCTTCACGTTTTGCAGATGTAGATGCCACTGGTTCTTCACGTTCTGCAGATGTAGATGCCACTGGTTCTTCATGTTCTGCAGATGTAGATGCCACTGGTTCTTCACGGCTTGCAGATGTGGATGCCACTGGTTCTTCACGTTCTGCAGATTTAGATGCCACTGGTTCTTCACGTTCTGCAGATGTAGATGCCACTGGTTATTCATGTTCTTTAGATGTAGATGCCACTGGTTCTTCACGTTCTGTAGATGTAGATGCCACTGGTTCTTCACGTTCTGCAGCTGTAGATGCCACTGGTTCTTCACGTTTTTGAAGATGTAGATGCCACTGGTTCTTCACGTTCTCCACATGTAGATGCCACTGATTCTTCATGTTCTGCAGATTTATATGCCACTGGTTCTTCGCGTTCTGCAGATGTAGATGCCACTGGTTCTTCATGTTCTACAGATGTAGATGCCACTGGCGCTTCATGTTCTGCAGATGTAGATGTCACTGGTTCTTCACGTTCTGCAGATGCATGCCACTGGTTCTTCATGTTCTGCAGATGTAGATGCCACTGGTTCTTCATGTTCTGCAGATGTGGATGTCACTGGTTCTTCACGTTCTGCAGATGTAGATTCCACTGGTTCTTCCTGTTCTGCAGATGTAGATGCCACTGGTTCTTCACGGCTTGCAGATGTGGATGCCACTGGTTCTTCACGTTCTGCAGATGTGGATGCCACTGGTTCTTCACGTTCTGTAGATGTAGATGGCACTGGTTCCTCACGTTCTGTAGATGTAGGTGATACTGGTTCTTCATGTTCTGCTGATGTAGATGCCACTGGTTCTTCACGTTCTGTAGATGTAGATGCCACTGGTTCTTCACGTTCTACAGCTGTAGATGCCACTGGTTCTTCACGTTTTGAAGATGTAGATGCCACTGGTTCTTCACGTTCTCCACATGTAGATGCCACTGATTCTTCATGTTCTGCAGATTTAGATGCCACTGGTTCTTCACGTTCTGCAGATGTAGATGCCACTGGTTCTTCATGTTCTACAGATGCAGATGCCACTGGCTCTTCATGTTCTGCAGATGTAGATGTCACTGGTTCTTCACGTTCTGCAGATGCATGCCACTGGTTCTTCATGTTCTGCAGATGTAGATGCCACTGGTTCTTCGTGTTCTACAGATGTAGATGCCACTGGTTCTTCATGTTCTGCAGATGTAGATGTCACTGGTTCTTCACGTTCTGCAGATGTAGATTCCACTGGTTCTTCATGTTCTGCAGATGTAGATTCCACTGGTTCTTCATGTTCTGCAGATGTAGATGCCACTGGTTCTTCACGGCTTGCAGATGTGGATGCCACTGGTTCTTCACGTTCTGCAGATGTGGGTTCCACTGGTTCTTCACGTTCTGTAGATGTAGATGGCACTGGTTCTTCACGTTCTGTAGATGTAGATGATACTGGTTCTTCATGTTCTGCTGATGTAGATGCCACTGGTTCTTCACGTTCTGCAGATGTGGATGCCACTGGTTCTTCACGTTCTGTAGATGTAGATGGCACTGGTTCCTCACGTTCTGTAGATGTAGATGATACTGGTTCTTCATGTTCTGCTGATGTAGATGCCACTGGTCCTTCACGTTCTGTAGATGTAGATGACACTGGTTCTTCATGGTCTGCTGATGTACATGCCACTGATTCTTCACGGTCTGTAGATGTAGATGCCACTGGTTCTTCACTCTCTACAGATGTGGATGCCACCACCGTCATCTATTGCGCGACGGTTGAACTTACGACTCTCGGTCCGAACGGGCAACTGGGCATACGGACGGGTTTGTTCGTATCTCTGAAAGTTCGTAAGTCGCGTGTTCGTAAGTAGCGGAGTAACCAGTACCTGGCTGCTCACAGTCAATCGACACACGGTGGAGTGATTTAATTCAAATCTCTTCACCGGGTTACAATATTCAGTGTCTCATCAGCAGCAGCAACAGCAGAGTTAGGCTGTCATACCTATGAACCCCTTATCAGTGGCCTACCTCATTGCAGACCAATTCAGACCTTATTGGGCAACCCGTGCCCCTCATAAATCTCAACGTTCATCCTACAAAATCCTATCACAAGGGAGAAACACAAACACAAATAGACAAACTTATTTTTTTTTAACCGGCTGTTACGCCGTATGGACCTGAAAACTCAATTTCCCTGCAAACCGTGTGGCTTGACACGGTATGACTCACAGAAACACACA